AAAAGAGGATAGAATGTGCTGAAATCAGTTGTAAAACAATTTAAAGTAGCAAATACTTAACTCATGGCTAATGTGGTTTGTCTGGCTCCATATTGAACCTTTGTTTAAATTAAAAGAATTATCTAAATAAAAAAAGAAGGATAATGGTATTAGTTGTAATACTGAAAAGTCTTAGAAAACATCTTATAAATGATTTCCCTTTTTAAGAACATGTTTCTGAAATATGCAACCTCACAGTGACCTTTTGCAAAGATGACCCGTTAACTGAGGACTGAATTTTGGGATGGACATGGTCAGGATTCCAAGTCAATACTGCAGCACAACGACTCACACGGTAATGGTAACGATACTAAACTGGTTAAAACAAAAAGCAGTTACTATGAATACAGACACATACACGCACGCATGCACGCACACACACATGATATCTTTGTGAATTTCATATAGTTTTGTACTAGATTTGTAGTTAGCTTAAAAACCAAAAACCAACATGAAGTGTGTGGCTAATGAATACCTCTACAAAATAAGCCATGTTAAAATGAGACGATTAGAAAAGCCCACTTTTGCTGCAAACATCCTAGAGAGGTTAGATGTCCGCTGAAGCTGAAGATGTGGAACTACTATGGTTACAGGGTTGTGGACACTAGTTAGATAACTGCTTAAAAGCTTATATTAAGGCAAATAAAAGCTGATTGCTAGAAAGCAATTATGCAAATGTCTCTTGTTTATCTAAAGAAGAACAGGACTTTTTTTTCCTGGTGCAGCCAGATGTTCTAACTTTTGAACAAATGAGCGTGGTCAGTAATGTACAATAACTCTCAAGTCTGTTCCTTTGGCCTAGCTAAGCCCGTCTGGCCCTCGGGCATCCTGCAAGATGACAGACAGAAGGGCAAGGGTACTATCAGAAATGGAACAGGCTGCCCCCACTCCTCCCAGCCTCTACCAGCACACAGAGACAGACTGGAGACACAGCATTCGCAGCCAGTTGGCATCTTGGTTCTTTTGTCTTCTGAAAATAAAAATAAGTGCTTGTCTTGTCTTTGGAGGTCAAAGAGAACCGCACTAATTTGCTTGAGGGGGCTTTTCTGGAGGAGAGGATCCTCAGTCCTGTGCCAAGGTTTCACGCTGTTTGGCTACACGCCAGGCTTTTCTTCTGGATCTGGTCTGCACGTCCAGAGATGGAGGAATTGCATCAGCATCGTATGCACAGTGAAAGGGTGGCTCTTGTCCAGAGAAGCCCATTCTGGGCCTGGCTACATGGCCTCGGGGCCTGGCGGCAGTTTGAAGAGTCTGGCTGCAGATAGGAGCTTTCTTATGTGTCTCTCCTCTGTGATGCCGGCCTCCTGAAGGCAAGTGTGGGACAGAGAAGGCACCTGGCTCAGTGTGCTGAAGCCCGCGGTGGAGAGGGTGCTGGCATACATGGGCAGACCGATGGAAATGAGCCAATCTGACACAGACGAAATGCATCCAGGAGAGACGGGCTTTCGGCAGATTTCCGTGAGTCCACCACTTGGAATCTGGATAAATTAAGAAAGCAATATATGATAGAAACGCTTCATGTGTCATCGGAGGACTGCTTCGTGTATGTCTAAAAGGAACAGCACTGAAATACTGCATTGCTAGACTATTATCAGAAAGCAACAATGCAGTGAGTGTCAGAGATCAAGACTAGCAGGAAAAATTCTTCTCTAAGATGAAACAAATCTTTAAGGAAGTGTTCCACAAGGTTCTCGAAGGTGTTTGGAATGAGATCAAATCCCATTTATGTATCCAAGTCTCCAAACTGTAAGCATTTACATATTCTGCTACTTTGTTTCACTGTGGATATGCTCTTGACAAGAGACCTAAGGTAGTCTGAAGGGACAAATCTGGGTGATCGTGTGAAAAGTAGCACTCAATGGGTAGGGTTTTTATAAAGGAGACTTTCCACTGTAGTTTGAATCTATGTTAACCAGAAAATTACATATTTAGTCAATGCGGTTATAAAGAATTTAAAATACAATAATATCATGGGTTGGCTGGAACAGGGAAATGGATGTTTAACCTTGACTACTGGGTATATAAAGGGCCTACACCTTTCAGAAAGGTGATTTGCTAACAAGTATGAAAATCTTTGGGATTTTATACAGTTTTGATGAAGCAAACCCTCTTCCAGGATTATATACTCAGAAATTCACCTTTAAAGTCTACAAAGGTTTATTAACAAGGATGCTCTCCATTACATTTTTTAAAATAAAAGGTTGGAAAAATCTAAATGTTTTAACTATGAGACTCAATACTAGAGTACACTGACCTACTAGAATACTTTGAAATACAATAGCCATCCCCCCTTATCCACGGTTTTGCCTTTTACAGCCTGAAAATATTAAGTGGGAAATTCCAGAAATAAACAATTCGTAAGTCTTATGTCGCACGTCATTCTGAGTAGTGTGAGGAAATCTCATACCATCCAGCTCTGTCCCACCTGACAATCACCCCTTTGTCTAGCAAATCCACACTGTCTACACTCTGGGCCCCGCAGTCACTCAGTAGCCCGTGGCCATCAGATCGACTGTCGCAGGACTGCAGCACTCACGTTCAATCACTCTTATTTGGCCTTATGATGGCCCCAAAGTGCAAGAGTAACATGCTGGCCATTTGCATGTGGCAATGAGAAGCCACGTTCAAAGTGCTTCCTTTAAGTAAAAAGGTGAGAGTTCTTGACTTAATAAGAAAAGAAAAAAACATCGTGTGCTGAGGGTCCTAAGATCTACAGTGAAAATGAATCTTATATCCATGAAATTGCGAAGAAGGAAAAAGAAATTTGTGTATAATATATACAGGGTTTGGTACTTGTCAAGCTTTCAAGAGATCCACTTGGAGGTCTTGGACCATATCCCTCATGGATATGAGGAGACTACTGTATTGATAATATCAATTTTTTTTTTCTAAGTAACAGAGAAACAGATTCATGATCTGATAATAGCAAACAATCAGGTTTCAATACTATACATTTACTATTATACATGTGCAGAGAAATGATTAGACAGAATTTTAATGGACAAGTAAAAATTGTGTATATTTATGGTGTAAAACGTGGTGTTTTGATAATTGTGGAATGGCTAAATCAAGCTATTTAACATATGCATTACCTCACACACTATATTTTGTGGTGAGAACACTTAAAATCTGCTGTCCTAGCAATTTTCAAGTATACATTGTTATTAACTGTAGTCACCATGTCGAACAATAGATCTCTTAAAGTTATGCTTCTAACTGAAACTGTGTCATTCAGACGGATTTTATTTTATTTCTTAAGAGATGGGGTCTCACTATGTTGCCCAGGCTGGCATCAAAATTCTGGGCTCAAGCAATCCTCCTGCTTCTGCCTCCTGAGTAACTAGGATCACAGGTGTGCACCATCATGCCTAGCACTAGACAGATCTTTAAAAAGTTTTTCAGTGTTGGGATTACGGATAATTTTCATTTTTTTTTTTCTTTCTGAAAGTGTATTTTTAAACATTTCTAGGCTGACCATGTATTACTTTCTCCCCAGCTGTCTCCTTTCCATAGCTACGCAAGCCCTTGTCTACTTGGCAGTTGTGAGTATGCTCATTACTAAGTGTGATCACTAAATGTGCTTCAGGAAGCTGGAGAACCATGGGCTGCTCACCGCCATGCGGTGCTGCTTCCGAAGCTGCTTCACCCGGATCTGGTCCATGTTGATGGCGACGTCCCTCTCAGGCTGATCCAAGTCCTCTGCGTATCTCTGCACCAGGGCTTCGGGAATCCCACAGCGGCCATGCTGCCGGGGAAAACAGGAATGTGGCATCAAGGGTATAAGGATTTTGTTTTTCTTTCCCTAAGATACACCACATATAACGTAGGGTCTCACTGTCGCTTAGACTGGAGTGCAGTGGTGTGATCATGGCTCACTGCAGCCTCAAACTCCTGAGCTCAAACGGTCTTCTCGCCTTGGCCTCCCAAAGTGTTGGGATTACAGGCGTAAGCCACCGTGCCCAACCAGAAAGTTTTAATTTGAAATGAATATATTTTCTTTATTGGCCAGGATAGATGCTTTAGAGAGAATACTTTTACATCTTTATCTTACAGTACTGATGAGCTCTAGGAAAGTGTTCTGAAGCACAGTTATGGCAGCAAACAGTTACTCTACACTTTTCAGGCCAATGCCTTCACCTCAATTGGATCATTTTGCAAAATACAATTCCTCTAATGTTATTGAAGAGAGTCTTCTAAACTGCAGGAGGAAAGGGCTAACTTCTACTTTACAGATATTCAACTGTTTGCGCTTCATCTGCTACAAGTTATACCACCAGCTTGCTAGGCCAGCATTTACTGTATGCTCATTCTCACTACTTTTCATTTAAAGACATTTACTCACGAAATATCAAGGAGGGTCAGGGAGGTGAACGAGGATCTTATTCTAAGGCACTCATTGTCACGAGAATTTTATAATAAAGGACTCTCAGGAATGCATCCTAATAGGACCTGTATTTCCAGGAGTAAAGTACAGCTGTGTCTCTTAGCATTGCTTTGTCTTTGGAGTCACTTGGTATTGGTAGATCTCATTTTTTTTTAAATGAGAAATAATTTTTCATTATAGAGCTAAATGATTTTGGTACAATGAGGGATTTTATATTATCTTTTTCCCACTACCCATACAGATAACTATAATACAATTATCACATCTGAATAGGGTTCTATAATTTTCAAAGTATGTCCACATTTATTTGCTTCTAGTAATCCCTCTAAGAGGTCTTCATGCAGGTTATTTTTAACCTCGGTTTACCTACAGAGAGATGAAATGGGAAGGTGTCAATATCTGAACACATGCATGTCAAGTACGGTGTGGACACGTGGATTCAGGTGTCTGCTGTCCACTAAACCATCCTTCTCGGAAGCCAGTCTGGGTACTAATGATTCTCCCTGCGAAGTAGAGCTGCCAGAAACTAAAAGGAAACAAGCAAGAGCGAAACAAAGAAGACTCCAGAGAGGCTGTATTTTCATTTAACCTGGAGCCTGTGCTCCCTGTTCGTCAGAAGCTGCTGGCTGTGGATCATTCATTCCACTCTCTCAGAGCGGCCCATGCTACTGGGCTGGCTACCGGGCTGGCTTCAGATGTGGGTTCATCTCACCTGGCTGCCTGCCTTCTACAAAGGCCTGTGAATGTGGTGGGCCCAGGACCTTTGATACCTTATCAGAATACGGCTCCTCCGTGAGATCGATGCCTTCGGCATGCAGCTTGTTTTCAGTAAGCATTTCCAGATCCACTCCCCGGGCACAAGAGACCTTCCTGGTCAAAGCCGGGCCCAGCTTCACACCGTGCTCCTGGAGGCTTGTGTTCTCAGGGAGCTCTGAGAGCCAGGGGGGCGGCCTTGTGCTTGGTGGGCTGCCAGGCGCCTGCCCTGAGAGAGGCCTGGGAGCCAGTGCTGGGGGACAGTCGCTAGGGCTGGTGGGGCTGGTGGGGCTGCCCCTTTTCACTGGCAGGCAAGGCGCATCGGGACTGGGGAGGGTCCCACCGGGGCCCATGGGAACAGGGTAGAGTCCATTAGCAAGGCGTTCTCTGCTCTTTTTGGCAGGAACAGGTGGAGGCTGTGATGGAATTTTGGGCTGCGTTCTTGCCTCAGGGACCCTCTGCTCAGCATCTACCCCTTCTTTGGTGCCCAGGGGATGGTGTGTTCCTTCAAACTCGTGTCCTATTCTGTGGCCCTCCAGAGGTGTCCTTGCTAAACCGTGTTTAGCTCCAGGAGCCTGAGCATCATAGTTTCTGGGCAAACACTGAGGGGGTGACAGGCTGCGACCAGAGGCTGCGATTGAGCCCTCCAGTTTCTTAGTTGTCAATTTCTGAGGTTCAGAAAATCTCTTGCTTTGGGTCAGTAGCAACGCATTGTCGACAGCAGAGTCTCGCTCCAGGGGCTGGGCCTTCGTCGAAGAGGCAGTCATCTTCTGTGGCACTTTGGGTACAATCTGAGGGGGCGGTTCTGTCACCTCGGTAGGCACGTCTTGCTCAGCACCAGGCTCTGCTTGAAGGTCATCCAGGGAATGGGATCGAGGCCAAGTGTCCACAGTCTGGGGGCCCTCGAGGGTCTCACAGCTCCGGCAGATGGAAACTGGGAGGCTTCTTCGGTTTTTATTCAAACCAGTCACACTAGGTGGGTCACAGCTCTTGGACGTGTCTGGGGCGAGGCCACCACCCAGCCTGCCCTCCTCCTGTCCCTGCTTCAGTGCATCCCCTGATTTCGTTAAAGGCAATGTTGGGTAATTGCCCAACTGGTTTCTGCTAAAAGACTTCAAGTTGGGCTCGGCGGATGACTTGGCAGATAGGAGGCTAGCTTTCCGAGTCTTGCCTGTGAGACAAGGGAACATTTTACAATCACATTTTAAAAGCAAATCAATCAAACAGATGCATAAAGGTGTGCTAACATAATTGAAATCTCCAACTCCCACATCCTATTGTTCAATTACACTAAAGACACAAAATCACCCTTTATGACATTGGGTGTTAGAGGGTTATTATGGTTCCATTTTTATTTTTAGAAAGAATTCTTAGTCTTATTAAAGAAATCAGGAAGACTGAAATTAATTGGGTTACATGGGAAAGAAATATGCTGTGTCAAGCAGTAAAATAAATCTTGGCTTAAGTCTGTGCCCAGCTACAATTGATGTGGAAAGAGGATGATCATCACACCGCATGTTGATGGCATTTGTTGGGCGAGCACAATTTCTCAAGGTCATGATGGAAAAGGAGAGCTGGACTGAATTTCAGAATAGGTTCTAGAAATGGTATCCCCTACAGAGTGATCAGCGGATGCTCAAATCCCACCTTCCTTGAGGCCCCTCCTTCTAATAAACGTATCCTAGAAACAGTCAACCAACCTGGGCACAGACAGGTAGACTTATGTGAGCACTTTGCCAAAGAAAATCTACAAAATACTGACAAAGATTTAGGTCCCAGCAAAGCACAGTCCTGGTTACAACGGTCAGACTGATAACTGAACTATCAACCAGACATAATCTACTTATCTGACGACTGGTAATTGATATTCAACTTCTGCTGTTGGATAAGCTTTGCCAATTCATGGGCCACGCAGCGTGCTGAATGCTTTGTTCTCATCAGTACTTACATGCATGTGCGCGCGCGCGCGCACACACACACACACAGATTAACTGTCCCTTGTTACATTTTTGGTTAATAACATGTTTGTTGTGTGCTTTGACCCTGTCCACCTGTATGTTCCACAATGATAAACACCAAAATGCTACGCATCTGTAGGATATTATTGTTGTTACATAAAGATCATCAGCCTAGTGCTACTACTGAAGATACTGACCCCAGTCCTACTTTTCATTATTAGAAAAATCATCACAGATAAATGAAGAAACACCTCTTCAGAAAAAAAAAAAATCGCATCAAATTTTAAAAGTAGGTTGAAATAGAAAATTATTAGAACCTCTTTAGCATAAATTTTAGGAATATGACTTTCTTTTCCCTTAACTCCCAATATAAAACTATATATATAAGTTCCATTTTTGCATTCCGCATTATATTAGAAAGATCTCTGAATTTACTTTACGTTCAAAGTATGGTTTGCTAGCCATCTAGTTCTTCAGCAGATACACATGAATTCATCTGGGCATGAAATATTCTGCCAGTGATATCTGTGAGATCCTTACCAATCACCAACAGTTGGGGGAATTAATTTCCTGGAAAGTTTTGGATATGAAAAGGTTATTAAGAGAAAAAAAAATTCTTCAGAACTTACATGAGCTACACAAGGATTCTGACATTTACTGAAACTGAGGATGTACTGGGATACTAGGTGGGTTTTGTATCCTGTCTTGATATATTCAGGCTACCTGAATATTATATATAGTCTGGGGAGAACTACTATCTTCCCAAGTTGATAGAATAGGAGGGCGTCATGGCTCAAATTCTGAGGGCCCCAAGATGCTTCTTAGAATTGGAATTAGAGTGAGGCAAACAAGGTGCCCGGAGGACACACTCTAAGGAGGTGACCGCCCAGAGCCACATGAGTGCAAGGCTGATACCCGAGAGTGAGCACTCTTAGGGTTTGCATCCTAGACACCCACTTTCCTTTCCTTAGCCCTAGTTCTGGTGCCCACAATGGCTCTCAAACTATTTTTTCCCACGATTCCCAGTAAGAAATACATTTTACATTCAACATGTAGTACACAGAGACACACATGCATGCACACAAGCGCAAACACACACACAGACATAACTGAAACAAGGATTACAAGTGACAGTGCTAACAATACTAACCTTCATCTTAGAGGATGCTCTCTGATATTTTGTATTCTATTTTGTCTTACAAAACTGCTGTCCATGACCCACTAAACTGCTTTCACAACCCACTAATAAAGTACAGCCTGGAGTTTTAAAAAGTTTGCTTTAGGAGGTGCTCAGCAAACATCTTAACACATGGGCTACTACATAGGATTCCAATGGCTGCTAAAAACTATCAAACCCAGGCATTTTTTGTGACGGCCTTCAAGAGTTTGACAGAGATTTAGGTGACGGTGGCAGCGTGAGCCTCTTACCACTGTTTCTCATCTTGCTACAATGGGAATTCTGGGGTCACAACAGGAAACCACAGAGCCATCCATAGTAACGTTTTGCCCACCTGACCCCATACCACTTAAAACTCCTCTTCTGTTTGAGACACGTACGTTTTCTGAAATTTCATACTGATTACTTCCTGACTGGCTGTACAGAGAGGCCACAAACAAGACACGTGGCCATCCGATCCTTCTCTCCTGCAGTAACTGCCTCGACACTCAGGCCGTACAGCTGAGGCGTTTAACACACTGCTGCTGGTGTAACCCTGATGGATGGTCTACCTGGTACACTGTTTTCCTCATGGACCTAATAGCTCCCAACACTCCAATGTTGGTGTTTATTGCGTAAAGAAAAGGGCATAGGAGACACACAATTTAGGTTTTACGGCTGCAGGTATTTTACACAGAATTTATTAACCTCACCCAGCAGCCAGGAGAACAGATAGGGAGGCTAACTTGGACTAGAATGGTATAGAGGTCAGAAAGGAAAAGATGATTGCTGAGTGCATGATAGGAATAGAATCGTCCTTTTGCAGAAAATCGTGCTTTGAAATCAGTAATTGTCAAAGCAGGTTCCCAGCAACTCATGCTGACACTACCGTTTTCCAGGTTCTCACTGCTTTCGTAGCATCCTGAGTCTCGGGGTGAGCATCCACTCAGGCCCTGGCTGTCAACGAGCAGCTTCTCCTGGGATCCTGACTGGTCGCTGTTACCTAGAGGAGAGAACACGGCACGAAATCAACAAGGGGAGTGAAAAGCAGAGATTTCAGAGTCAACAGATCTCGACTTTATCCTCAGATACTGCCCTGAGCTTTTGGAAGAGAACAATTTATCTTAAAATAGATGAGATCAAAATGAACTAGTGGGATCACAACTTTTCTTCCAATAAAGTATTCATTGCACAAAGATAAGTTTGGAGAGAGCACACAGTTGGAATATGTTGACACCTTTTAAGTTACGCAAACAGAAGCTTTTAAGTTACGCCAACTCCGGCCTTGGGGCTATGAGGAAAGGAGAAAGGCAGAGTGCTGTTTCGGCAGTGGGGCTCCCAGTCCCTTCTGAGTGATGGCACCATCGAGGAGAAGCAAACAGAGAATAAACGCCCCATGCACAAGGTGAGATTGGGTCATACGTTTTTTGGAGATGTATAAAACTTGTGCTGGAAGATAGTTGTGTTGCCAACTTTCCAAATTTGGGAGCTAATATTAAAGTGTCAAATCAAATAAATTTTATTAGCATTTAGGAGCATTCTTAGCCCTCAGGGACATGCGCTGAGGGCTCTTCTATTAGCTCAGCAAGAGTAAGGCTGGCAAGACGAGGCACAAACCCCAAAACTGAGGAGAGGCCAGTGGCAAATCTTCTTTTATTTTTGTTGTTTGGGATAAGTTAGTGGTTGCTCTTTCTTTTCTGCTTCTCCCTTTGTCTTGTGCCAGCACACTTCTGTCTCCTGCATATAAGTAAAAGCTGGGGAAAGCTTAGGAAACCCTCGAACTTGGAAGCTGAGTAACAGATACATGGTTGCTGGTATAGATAAATGGATGACCGAAAGCTGAACGTCCTCATTCCGAGTGGATAAAGAAAATGCAGTGCCTCTATATACACCATGGAATACTACTTGGCCATGAAGAGGAATGAAATAATGTCCTTGCAGCAATTTGGATGGGCCTGGAGGCCATTATTCTAAGTGAAGTAACACAGGAGTAGAAAGCCAAAATCCACATGGTCTCACTTGTAAGTAGCAGGTAAGCTATAAGCACACAAAAGCATACAAAGCGATACAATGGACTTTAGAGAGTCAGAAGGGGAAGGGTGGGGGGAGTCTAGGGATAAAAAAACTACATATTAGGTACAATGTATACTACTCAGGTGATGGGTACAGTAAGATCTCAGAATTTACCACTATATAATTCATCCATGTAACCCAAAACCACTTATACCCCCAAAGCTATTGAAATAAATAAAAATAATAATAAAATAAAGGAAAAAAAAAGGAAGACCTCATTCTGAGGAAGGCTTTTAAAGAGAAGCATCACTATTTGTCAGTTGAGCCTCAACAAAGCTGGAGGAGAGGAAAAAATCAAGAGCAGCATCAGACACTTCTGTTGAGTGAATCTGCCCCAAGGAAATCACGTGGAAAGCCGTGAGGGTCTTCAACAACCCAGAAGTATCAGCCGGCATGTTGTAGAAAGGGCACGTGGAGCCTTACATGGGACACTGAGGTTACACGCAGATCATCTTTGCATTATTATGCAAAGTGCTTGGTCACATAAAACAGAAACCAAGAAAACATTTTCTACATAAAATAGCTAGTTGCAGTGATGAATCGCTTTATTTTCCTTTCTTTTCATCCCCCACCAACTCCCCCACTCCAACCACATACACAAAGAAAAAAAGAAATCAATAAACCAGAAATGTGATGCCTTTTCTCAGGTCATCAAAATAAAAATGTGGGGAGGCGGAAGGCTCTGGCAGCTCTCCAGCTGTCCATTCACCACTTCCTGCTTGCATTTCTCACAGGGAAAGCATTTTACAGCCCCAACCACAGCAGAGATCGTGGCAGTGTAAGTCCCTCAATTAGAATCCCAAATTAAGAGTGCTACTTTTAAAATGACTAATGAAAAATTAACTAATTGGAAGCACAAGAGCAAATACTGTCCCCCCGACCACCTAAAAGTGGAACATTCTAGAGCGATGTCCTCACTGTGTGGAAGAGCCTGTGGCTTTGCAGTGGCCTTTGTTCTAGCCTAGCATGTTATTTAGAAAAATGATGCTTATAAAATGAGGGCTTTGCGCTATCCATTACAACCCAGGGAGAGGAGTCAGTGTACTCTGTCCCTGGTGACACGGTTCAGTGCACCACAGCGGCCAAAACAGACTCCAGAGTGCTGGCCGGTGGGAGGAACACAGGAGACCTGCTCCTGCTGCAGCGTGGAAATGTGTGCTGTGCCTGCATATCTGGGGACCCCAGCCTCACCAGACACAGCAGGATACCTGAAATTATTTTGGAGAGGGAGGGGATTCATCTGTCACCTGAAAACCACAGTTCTATTTATAGACCCATGAGGCATAAGGAAGGGGGCTAGAATCACTGTCTTTATTAGGGAGAAGAGAAAAAGAGGTGAGGGCCTCTCCTCTGTAGTGCAGAATCAGGACCATGACCTTTTCCCACACTTCTTAGCATTGGTGCCTAGGTACAAAAGATAAGAAAGAAGATGAGCTAGAACCCTGAAAATTCTCACAGTCAAATCACAGCAAAGTGCTAGGTTGTGAGGCTGAAACCCCATTTGAGCATGACCTGAACTTCGACCTGAAGGGGCTCTGCTTGGGTTAAGCTCTCTCTGCCTCCAGCCTCACCAACCCTGACCCCCTCCCCCCCCCACACACACAGGGAGAGAATATGCTTAGACACCTATGAATATTCCAACATCAAAAGGTAGTGGTACCCAAGGGCACATACCATTGCCTGGGGAGCAGTTACCTTGGGAAAGAAGAGAAGGGAATGGGAGTCTCTGAAAGCAGGACTTTCCATGGACTTACGCCATATTTCTTAAAATGTAAGAAATGAAGAAAATATGGCAAAACATTAACTTCAGCATGTACATGTGTATGTTTGTTTTCTTTTTCCCAGTACTTTTCTGCATGTTTGAAATAATTCCTAAATTAGAATTCTTATACAAGTTATTATTTATACTTAGAAACGGCTAAGACAGTAAACTTTAGATTATAATGTACTTTACCACAAGTAAAAATTCTTTTAGCAATTTGTAAGACACTTTCATGTGCCAGACCGAAGATAGTGGGTCTGGGCTTGGTGTAAGGAGCAGCCATCTGACAATCGGAGTCTTTTCCCAATGGGGTTCCCATATGAAAGCTGGCATTTTTCCCACGCTTTGAGGGAGGCTGGACAGGTCTGACTTCCAAGTAGTGCTGGAAATGTACTTTTTGCTCTCAGTGATGGCTAAGCTAGAAACCTTTCAAGATTCCTACATATCTTCAAAGATCTCAATAGACCTCTGCATCTCTCTAGTGTACAGAAATTTGGTTTGACAGAAACCTATCATGTTTCTCTAAGTTATCAGTTAGAGGCACTACTTCTTAGCCATGATGACTTTAACTGTATTGGATGTAAAATCCTATAATGCTAGGAAAAGTCTGGACCCTGACTCTTGGCACTAATGGGTACCTCTGGAACCTTGAAGCCTTTGTTTTGGAACCAATAAAAGGAAGTACAACTTTATATACCAGGGAAGTTCTAAACAACAGAGCAGAATAGATCCATAATGGAATGTTTGAAGAGGCAAAGAGGTCTTCTTCACCTTCCAGGTTAGCAACCTGATGGATAGCCATACCCTCCTACAAAATGCTCCCTGGTACAAAAATCTCAGGATGTGATCCCAGGAGGAACGATAGGTCTGAGCCAACATGGCATGGAAGAATCTAAGCACAGATTCCTGCCTTACACTCAGGAGTTAGCTTTTCTCCTCCAAAGCTGTGGATGATAAAGGAAATGTAATGGAGAGTACATATAAACCAGTTGTTGGTTGCATGTGGAGGCTCACGCCTGTAATCCCAGCACTTTGGGACGCCAAGGTGGGCAGATCACCTGAGGTCAGGAATTTGAGGCCAGCCTGGCCAACATGGTGAAACTCCATCTCTACTAAAAATACACAAATTAGCCGGGTGTGGTGGTGCATGCCTGCAATTCTAGCTGCTCGCGAGGCTGAGGCAGGAGAACGACTTGAACCCGGGAGATGGAGGTTGCAGTGAACCAAGATTGCGCCACTGCACTCCAGCTTGGGCAACGAGAGCAAAATTCTGTCTCAAAAACAAAACAAACCAAAATAAAACAACAACAACAACAAAAACCCAGCTGTTCTTGGTGACTGAGGAAAAGCAAGTGGGCTATGCTACTCGGCAGATGTGATTCAGGACAACAGATGATTTAATATTGATTCATACTAATTGAGCTGGTAGGCTACACCAGTTACTGTGCAGGCTCTTTACACACAACCTGGCCACAGACCCCAACGTGTCTCTTGGGAATCAAATACTTAAAAAAATGTTAACACTGCCCTTTATAAAGTGATATTAACTATGAATCACAATTGTTTCCAAATCTATCCCTGAAGGCAGCCTGTTTATCTTAGGCTCAGACATCTATCTGATGGTGTGTGTTTCTCTAGCTTATCAGTTCATTTACAGGGACTGCCTATTTAGCAGAAGTGAATTTCACCTAATGACACTTGCTTCTGTATTTCTCAGGCCTGATACATTTCAGTAATGTATAATTCTTTGTTCCACCATTAACCATGGTTTTGGTGTGTCTTTCAGCAACAGAAATGCTATTAGCTACTGATATCCCTGAAGCAGAGTCCTTGAAGGAAAATGCATTTGAATTCAGTAACTAGAAAGGATACTCCTTTAAGATGAATGAGTTCAGGAATATTTCTGATGGCAGATTGAAGAATACAGAGCAAGATAAGACTGAGTTAATGGAGCAAAGGATATGGTATATTCAAATAGACTTCATAAAAGCTATGAGCTCACCGACGACTCTGCTCACAGGCTGTAAAAATAAGCTGTCATTTAGGTTAGGAATTTGCAAGCCAATCGATACGGAATTCTCTGCTCTACATATTCACTGGGGAGAGACATCTCCTCCTTTAACGAAAGCTGATGAATTTCATTTATTCACTAACCAGTCTATTCAATAAGAACACAACTCCTCGTGTGCTCTGAGAAGCAGTCAATCCTTAGCTGGGCGAAAACCTCCCAGCTGGTCAGTCGCTTTTGTGCTCAGCTGTCCCAATGGCCTGCTGGAGGCTGCACATCTCAATAGTACTGCAAGTGGAGTCTACCCAAACTGTAATTCCATTCTTGCAGACACTTGGTGCAGAATCCTCTTCAACTATCACCTAGAAACATGCCTGGAAAGGCAGCGGCGGCACATGAGGTTTTCTTTTGTTCCCATGTCTGCCCTGGGAATTTACGTCTTTGTGCAATTTGACCTTGGCTTGTGAAATAAGAGGACAGAACAAGTGACTCCAGGGACCTAAGCACATACTGGTGGCGTACGTGGGGCCTGCTGTGGCAGACCTCACAGGGAACACCTCTGTGTGTTCAGGGACTTACTGTCATACTCTTGTAACAGCTCCACCGCTGTCAAGAGAACAGCTCTGTGTTCCGGGTCCCTGATATTTAACTCATCCAAGTCTTCTTCCTCCAGCAGCTTAAAGGTGTCCAAATCTTCATATCCATTGAACAGGAAAGTGGGCATGTGCTCCTGTGAGAGGGAGAAGGAAGACAGAAGGGAGTCAGCCAGCCCAGCCACGTGATAACACCGCCAACAACTAGCCTGCAACCCCTACGCTGTTCTCATAGTCATCTTCATGTTAATCAAAAGATGCGAAAGTATCATTTGCAAAGGATCCTGAACATCCCAGTCCTCTGGCTTAGTAGGCAAGCAGGGTGTTTTATTAATCATGGATTAGGAAGATGTACATTGCAGGCTGTGATGGATTCCGCAGGCTTGCACTATAATTGTACTCTTGATAAGAGCTAATTCCTTTACCTCCACAGAGCCCACAACAGAGGAGACGCCTCCTCCATTTACAGAGTTATTAAAATCCAGCATTTAATTCCTCAGGATCAAGAGTTTTGCAAAGAGGAAACGTAATCTCTCATTGCAGACTCACACTAGTAGATGCTGGGAGTGATGGTGGGAGGGAGGTGGGCACGGAGTTTCCTTGTGGCCCCTGTGGAGCTAGCTGTGATCAAGGTGCCAGGAGTTTCTGCCTACAGCTCTTCCAGCAGCAAGGTTGGATCTGGGACTTATGCTATCACCCATAGCTGAGGTCAAGGGCAGTGTTAGAAAACTGGTAACTAACTCTTTCTGTGGAATGGATGCTGATCACAGTAACGAGCCGCCCTTACTGGACCACACAGATCAGCCCCAACCCTATCCTAAAAATGCCCTCCCTTGCTCAGTGTAGGAGAGAAAAAGGCAGTGAGGTACTAGCATGTGACGAGAATCCAAAGCGACTGACTTTTAGGTTAATCCGATCCAGGAGATCCTCCACAGACTTGGGCTGGGGCGGTCTTCCTTTCCGCCGCCTCCTGGTGGGGCGCTTGGGCTTCTCCTCGTCCTCGCTGAGCACGTCCACGTAGATGAACTTGAATGTGCCGACTTTGTTGTTCAGCAGCCCCATCCAGGTCCCCATGGGCGGCTTGCTGATGATATCAATGATGTCTCCTTTCTGTGGCCCAGGGAGCAAAGATCTGTCCATTAGGTACATTCCACGAACGTACAGATCATAAGTCTGTCAGATACACAGGTCATGCAGAAGTGAAGATGCCACAAAGGCCAGAATCGGGGTCCCACAAGTCACCCCTCTGAGTGAGCCGCACAGGATGTGACTGTGAGCTCAGCAGAGGCCAGACAGGTGTCTCTGACTGTCCGGAATTCCACACAGGCCCTTGGTCACAGCCCCTCCACCCTCTTGCCCTGCAGAACCAGGGGTGCCTGGGGTGCCCCTGGTGCTCTCAGCCAGGCTGCCCACCTGGCGCTCTGCACGCCTTCCCTCCTAAGAGGGCTCCCACTTCTTGGAGAAGGCACTTCCCACCTGTCCTACCCAGTGTCAATTCTGGCCCTGTCATGGCTGCACACACTTGGTGGAACCCCATCTGTCCCATAAAGGTATCTCTGAGCACACAGAAGGCAGAAATCTTTCTTCAGATGGAGAAAACATAGAAACCACGTGTGTGGAGCAGGAGCTGGTGGGGAGAGCGAGGGTGTGCAATAGGAATTCTAGAGGGAAGCTGAGGTCAGAGGGGTGAAGCGATGATAACCCAGGGATTAACACGAGACCCTCCCTCGGCCTCGAGGGCTGGCTGGTTTTTGTTCTGTTTTTCACTACAGAGGAGACCAGTGATGGAGGTAGCCAAGATACTGTCCAGTCTATACCATAGTAGTCCAGCATTCAACAGTAAGGAGGAAAGAAAGCCTCCTAGAGAAAAGGAAGAGCCCAGTTAGCTGCTCTGAGGCCAGGGAGAGACATACCTTGAGCTTGAGTGAGTCTGTGTCATAGGGACTGGGGGTGAAGTCGGTGTGCACCCTGGCACGCCCGCAGAACGGGCCTCGGTAAGGCGGCTCTTCGTCATCCCCATCTTCCGACTTGACGCTTTCTCGGTTGCTGGCTGAGGAATCGGTGGTGCTCACTGTTTGACCACCTGTACAGGAAACAGAGGAAGAACAAGGGTAGATACAGATTTCCCACCCAGCAAAGCAGAAAGGTATTGAAGGTAAGGCAGATTAGGAAACGAAGGCCCAGAGAAAGGAAGCATTGAGCCACAACCTTCTGTCAGGACCAGGGCAGGGCCCAGTTATGAATTCTCCGAGTGGTATCCCTCAGTTCCTCACTGGACAGGGGACTCACAGCAAGTTACCCTCAAGACCTGGGAATCCATGTGGCACCGAGGCTCCCATGTGGAGGACACTGCAGGACCAGTCACTAGACTCTGCTCTGAACATTCGTGACCTCTCAGTGGTAATGCACACTCTTTCGAACCATTTTACAGATGAGGAAACAAATTCAGAGTGGTCATATCATGTGCCCAAAAGGGTAAGAACTTAGTGGTAGGCTTAAATTTGATCTCGGGGCACGGTGGCTCATGCCTATAATCCCAGCACTTTAGGAGGCTGAGGTGGGTGGACTGCTTGAGCCCAGGATTTCCATCAGCCTGGGCTACATGGCAAAACCCCATCTCTGCCACAAAATTAGCCAGGTGTGGTGGCATGCCTCTGTAGTGCAGCTACTCGGGAGGCTGAGGCAGGAGGAGGATCCCTTGAGCCAGGGAGGCGAAGGTTGCAGTGAGCTGAGATCACAACATTGCATTCCAGCCTGGAAGACAGTGAGACTCCATCTCAAAAAATAAAATTAAAAATAAAAATAAAATAAAAAGTTGATCTTTTCCTTCCTACCATTCAGCCAACTCCAACTACCATTGGCCCGAATGTATCAGTCACATATAAAATTCCCTCCCTTCCCCACACCCTTTATTTCGCTGGTCACCTGCATGTGCTCGTCTCCCTGGCTTATCCCCCTGCTCTCTAGATCCTTCTTCTGAGATGCTTTCCCTGTTGTGTCTGATCAAAATGCATCACCTCCTCTTTTGGGCTGCTGCTGCTGCATGTCTACTAATAACCAGACACGACTCTGAGTCCAGAGAGTTTGCAGGTCCGGTTCTCTAATAGCACCTGAAGGGCAGGACTTGGTCTTATTCACCTTAAAATTGCCTGAACCTAGTGCTCAGTATATGTCACATATTAACTCCAAAGACAATAATCTACAATGACAAACTAGACTTACTCATGGAGCTCTGCCCACTCAGAGAACTGCGAAGACTTTCTACGGAACCCCCGGCCTTGAGCTTGGGCTTGTCCAAGTGTTCGGGGTCAGGCTGTGAAGGCGGAGGGGAGCCAGGCATTCCATCGAGGCCCGAATCCTGCCATGGGTTTCAACAAAATGAAGAAGTTCATCAGAGTGCACAGCTGTTGTTTTGTAATTCTCAGTGACTTGGTCTTCAATGAAATCAATCAAATCAATCCACACTCATATTTGATTCTATAACCAATATTCTCCTCCTTTTAAACCTATATCCTTGCTTACTTTAAAGTTATGGACAATGTTACTATTTATTAACCACTCAGATATTATTTCTCATTCTCAAGTAGATATTCTTGAAATCTCCAAGAAAAAAAAAAAATCTATCTACCACACAGACAAAATACTTAAAGGCTTAGAGACTCAGCACACACAAAAGCCCAGTAGCAAGGCTGGACTTCAAACGTAGATCAAGTACAATCCATGATTAATGGAATACCTGGAAGTGCAGTCAGAGGATATTTAATCTACTTGGATAGGAAACATTTGCACTTTTAAAAAAGTATATACTCCTTGGGGGAAAAATTGGCTAGATTCTTATGTTTCTATTTATACAAATTATTGGCATTGGCTAAAGAAATACAAAATTAAAACCCAAATAGACAGCAAACATACTATTTTCCAGTCTACTAATAAAATTTCCGTATGTCACTCTAAAGTCTTAGCTTCTTTCACTTTTCTAAAGTGCTGTCAGTAAAAAGCTGGGAGCCTCTTTCAGACCAGAATCCTGATGGGAGTGACTCAGCAGTACTTTCTGCATTTTGGGTAGCTAAGTATTACCCTCTCAGCGGCTCCTCATTTGCACATTTGAGCATAGCATGCTTATCTGATTCATGGTGCTATACCAATACACGATGTCACACTTCAGAAAGTTTGCAGTGACAATTGTTTACTTGCCAAAATAGAAAAGTCTCTGGCATATTACATATGGCCACAGCCACGTGAGCACAAAACCAGCTAAACGCAACCTGCTATTTGCATGCTGCCGAATCATCAGAAGGGCCTTAACACAGTTCCACAGGTCCTATAAACATCTGAGGACATCAGCAACAGTAGTTTCTGATCCAACACACATTAGTGCTTTCAATGTGAGGAAAGTGAGCAAGCGACCTCAAAAACAACAAAGAAAACTAAAGTTGACATTATTAGGAAGTTACTGAAGCTCCAAAGTATGAATTCCTTAAAAAAAAAAAAAATTCATTCCTCCTTTCTGCATCATAAAATAAGTGATTTTTTTCCCATCAAATTCTTCTGTAATGCTTCTGAAAAAAGCATGCAGTTTGAAAAACAGCAATAGTAAATGTGGATCTCTGATATATTTTCAAATGCTTTTTAAAATTATTAATTTATTCATCACGTGTTTATTAATTACCTACAATAACAGGCACTATTCCAGGTACTGGGCATATAGCAGTATCAGAGAAAACAAATATCCCTGCCATAATGGTTGGTATATTTACTCAAAAGTTTTTATAAAAAAACACACAAGGTGGGCGCGGTGGCTCATGCCTGTAATCCCAGCACTTTGGGAGGCCAAGGTGGGTGGTTCACAAGGTCAGGAGTTCGAGACCAGCCTGGCCAATGTAGTGAAACCCCATCTCTACTAAAAATACAATAATTAGCTGGGTATGGTGGCACGCGCCTGTAGTCCCAGCTACTCGGGAGGCTGAGGTGGGAGAATTGCTTGAACCCAGGAGGCGGAGGTTGCAGTGAGCCAAGACCACACCATTGCACTCCAGCCTGGGTGACAGAGTGAGACTCTGTCTCGAAACAAAAACAAAAAAACCAACCACACAAAACCTTCCATTATTTTTGCTTTACAGGAAATTTATAATGATCAGTTATTTCTTTTATTCCTTAACTTATGTGAAATGACTGCCTTAAAAAAATAGAACTAAGCACGTAAGATTGCTATATGGTAGTAACATTACTGAAAAACATCAAAATGATATTAAAATTCTATGCTTATGATTCATAAAGCATAAAACCTCTTTGAACATAAGCTGAAGAGTTTTAGTAGCTGTTTCAATTTGGGGGAAAAGCAAACTTAATAAAATGCTTTAAATTAGTATCATGCTTTCACTAGCATGCTGACTGCTTCATTGCTGGGAAGAAATACAGAACCACTATCACTCCCTCATCCATAGGGACAAGAGAATGAAAATAACAAAGAAAATTATCATGGATAAGACACACTGAAGGCAGTCCAACATCTCCTGCAGGTCTAATAAGCCACAGTTTCTGAGCCTGAGCACTGATCATTTTGGATGGACAGTTCTTTGCTGTGGGGACCGTCCTCTCCATGCTAAGATGTTTGGCAGTGTCCCTGGCCTCTGTCCTCTAGATCAGCATTCTGCAACTCCCGGGCCATGGACCAGAACCCGTCTGTGGCCTGTTAAGAAGTGGGCCGCACAGCAGGAGGTGAGTGGCGGGTGAGTAGGCCAAGCTTCATCTGTTTTTACAGCCACTCTCCATCACTCGCATTACTGTCTGAACTCCACTTCCTATCAGATCGGCAGTGGCATTAGATTCTCATAGGAGCACGAATCCTATTGTGAATTGTGCACATGAGGCATCTAAGTTGCAGACTCCTTATGAGAATCTAATGCCTGATGATCTGTCACTGTCTCCCATCACCCCAGATGGGACCATCTAGTTGCAGGAAAACAAGCTCAGGCTCCCACTGATTCTACATTATGGTGAGTTGTATAATTACTTTATTATATATTACAATGTAATAACAATAGAAATAAAGTGAACAATAAATGTAATGCACGTGAATCATCCTGAAACCACCACCCACCCCAGCTCCGTGGAAAAACTGCCTTCCACAAAACCAGTCCCTGGTGCAAAATGACTGGGCACTGCTGCTCTAGATGTCAGCAATATCTACTCCACTTCATCTCAACCCAGTCTGACCATTGAAAGACATTGCCCTGGGGTGCATGGGGGAGCAAAATGATACCCTCTTACCCCTTCCCCATGAGAATCACTGTAATCAACTGAAGCTGCCATGCAGGCATTGTTTGAATCAAGTGAGGCAGGTGGCAGGCTGGTGGTGCTGTCATTCACATAGGGGCGATGCTTGGTTTTAGCTCACTGTGCCCACCAGAGAGCAGCAGCTGAGCAAAAATGTCTGCTTTCACTGCTGTTTTTATTTGGCAGATAAACTGCATTACCTACATATTTCAAGCAGACAACCAGCTCATACACAGGTACTTCAACAGGCTACAAAATGAATGCTGTATAGGTGCCGGAGGAGAGTGTCTTGAAAATTGAAGGGTCATAATTACCTTGAGACCAAGCTCTCCAACTGTCTTTACTCCCGCCACCCATGCAATTAAGACAGAAACAGTCATTTTTCTAGCAACAAAATTATAGATCTAGGGGGGAAAAATCTATTCTGTGATACCTTTCTTCATGGCCACAGATAGGGCAAATGAGGGAAAACACCACGCTCTGAAACATTATTACCAAAGTCTGGTACCCAGGAAGAACTCCGAGTTTATTTCTTAGACTGGCTATGTGCTTCTACAACAACTTATGCTATGATCGACAAGTCTGCTGTTCAAAAAAAAAAGTTTTAGGTTTGATTCAGGTAACATCCATTCTGTAGCAAGGCATAGTTTAGAAAATAAAATGCTTCCTTTGCATTCAAATTTACAACGCCTATTGCACTGAAGAGTAACCATTTCTTTACATGTCTCTTTCTCTTGTCTGTACACAGAAGGCAAGTCCTATATTTTGTATTCCCCAGCACCAAGCACGGTGCTGAACAGCCCAAAGTGCTTAATAAATGTGTGCTGAATACAATGTTTCTCTATGTAAATAAAGCATGGACTTGGAGCAGGTTAATGCCAAGGAATATGTATATTTAGCACCATTTAAAATCTCAGGTGGGCCATCCTCAGCTTTTCTTGTCAGGAAGAACCAAGGGAACATTCTACCAGGTAGCTGCATACCTGCTCAGACACAGAGCTGCTGTATTTTTTAGACATTCTCTTTCTCATCGTCTCTTTCACTGATTTCACCTTTTTCCCAAGAGAGATGCGAGAGGCAGTAGGTGATTTGATGACTTCTTTGTACACAAAGTCTCCTTCTTTACCCTGTAAAACAAAATGTTGCAAGTATTGTTGGTCACAAAAGATGAAGGACAGATTTTATGATTTAAACCATTACTGTCCTAGCTCTCAGAAATATGGGCATTCCTCAGGATCTTTAAGTTTTTCTTGTGTTAACTCTGTGCTGTTATTTATCTCTTTGATTAAAAATGAAAGCTTATTGACTATAGGGCTTTTTGTTTGTTTGCTGACAGTGGGATGTGAGTCAGTTTTTATTTTACTTACTTTTAGTACATCCTTATCAGGTTACATTTTTCCTGCTATTTTTAACACCCAAGGGGACTGCATTTCATCAGTAAAGAATGATTTACCTTTGGGAGGCTGAGGCGGGTGGATCACGAGGTCAGGAGATCGAGACCACCCTGACTAACACGGTGAAACCCGTCTCTATTAAAAATACAAAAAATTAGCCGGGCGTGGTGGCGGGCGCCTGTAGTCCCAGCTACTCGGGAGGCTGAAGCAGGGGAATGGCGTGAACCCGGGAGGCAGAGCTTGCAGTGAGCTGAGATCGCGTCACTGCACTCCAGCCTGGGCAACAGAGTGAGACTCCATCTCCAAAAAAAAAAAAAGTGATTTACTATGTTCATGTAATCCCAGCAATGAGGGAGAAGAGAGGGATAATACTACTGAATTGCCCTGAGAAAGAGGTTAGAACAAATAGTTAAGCTCACTCGTTAGAAAAGCAATATCTGATTGGATTTCCATCACTATAGCGCTCAGTGTGTACATTTCTAACAAACTAGATTGTGGTCATCTCTCATTTTAGTTTGCATTTTTTTTTTAAACAAACTTTTCTCTGAGAAAGAAAACAAATCATATTTTCTCTCATTTCTAAAAAAGATTGACAGCAGAAAACTATTGGCTTAAGAATCAATATAATTTGATAGCCAAATAAGACAGTTTAAATCTCTTCCAGGAAATTTTCAAAACATTTCATATACATCCCAGGTGGGTATTTTAGCTGACCCATGATCATAACAAATATGAAACACGAAATCTTCATTTTACAGTTTTATGACACAATGCAAAGGACAAACTAAACTATATATAAGACTCACCAAAGGCTGGGCGCGGTGGCTCACGCCTGTAATCCCAGCACTTTGGGAGGCCAAGACGGGTGGATCACAAGGTCAGGAGTTCAAGACCAGCCTGGCCAACATGGAGAAACCCCATCTCTACTAAAAATACAGAAATTATCTGGGCATGGTGGCATACGCCTGTAATCCCAGCCACTCGGGAGGCTGAGGCAGGAGAACTGCTACATTGGGATGGAGGTTGCAGTGAGACAAGATTGCCGACAAGACAAGATTGTGCCACTGCACTCCAGTCTGGGTACAAAGCGAGACTCCGTCTCAAAAAAAAAAAAAAAAGGACTCACCTTCACCCTTGGGGTCTGAGAAAACAAACCTCAGGGAACAAAACTTGTGTGCCACTGTGGTGGCCTGTCCCTGGACTATGACCCCAAAGGAGGTCTGAGGGGCAGACACCTGGGCCTGACACCAGATCCCTGAGCGGTCTGGTCTGCTTTGGTCTCATGGAGACTAAGTTCACTCCAGGACACCCCAGACCATAAAACCCTAGGCTTAGTATAGGCCATGCGGGGCCAGGTACTGGGCCTGTAATAAGACTGGTGTTCCAAAATGCCAGCACATACCCACAGGGCTTCACTTCATGGCACTATGTGTGTGTCGTAGTTACGTGCTAGAAACTAGCAAGAAGAAAAGCCCATGCGCAAAATGACTCAGACCACAGAGGCCAGACTTATCTGGATTTGTTACTTGAAGAAAACCGGAAGCAAAGGCACTAAAGGAACTGTGCTACTCAGGGAAGGAGACGGCAGTGAGAGTGGTCATTATTCATTCCATGTGGAACGGTGGAGTCCGTAAGGTGAGTGAAATAGAGCTTTTCTCTAAACGTGACTGAGGATTACCAAGGAAAACAGTACCCACTATCAGTTCTCAAAGATGCTCAATGGTCAACTATTGTCAGCCTCATCGCCTGAATCCATATCTTTTGCTTTCCTCCAACGCTACTCACCATTGGGTCAGAATTATTAGTGCCAACATGCAGAGAGCGATTTGTCAAGTCAAATCCTCCAAAACTGCAGGTTCTCTGTGGAAAAGAGGGCAGGGCAGAAAATCTCCAGTTATGCTTAAGCCAGCCGGTGGTGCACCAACCCAACAGTCCCCATTTGCAGGACATCTCTGAATCACAAATACGTGTACAGGATGAAAGTAGAACACGAGAAATGATGAGAAAAAAACACATGAGTCATGTCATAAGGAAACTTCACTCATTTTTCCCTTTCACAGGCCACTGGAACTCTGCCCACCCCAGAAGTCTAGAATCCTCTTAACATGCAAAAACCAACCACTTAAAAAAAGCCTAAAAAACAACAACAAAAAAAACCCTCCATGAGTCCAGTGCTGTGAGATTCCCTGTCTCCAGCACAGAACTTCCCCTAACATCAGCTACATTCAGTAGAGAGAATGAAGGGATATGTGTTAGAGGATCCATGTGCTCAGGCATCCTGAAAACCCAGGTCTAAAATCCCATGGCTCTGACACCAACAGCAAGCTTTTCAAACAGACTTTCATTTTGTTTAGTTTTAAATCGCTGAGAAGAGGAGGGGGAAAGGTTATGTTTATAGTAGTCCAATCAGGCCAAGAGAATTACTCACTCACTGCTTCCCCATCCTAGCCAAAAACGCTGGTAACTTTCCCATCTAACTGACCAAGTTAAGTAATGATGACCCTTTTCTCTCAGTGAATGAAGATGCCACATTTGCCCAGAAAGAAAACGGATGAATCGGTGACTGTCTTTGACCACACTCTTTAATTTCAATAGGACAAATGCTGATGTTATAAAGAATGAAAACTTTATTATCCTTTTAGGTGGTTGCAAAACTTCACAGAACTGCTTATATCTTAGTGATTTTTGTATTTGCAGAACTTGGTTAAAATTCACTGTTGTTTTTCTGGTAACTTTTTTCATGGAACAGCTTATATCTTAGTGATTTTTGTATTTGCAGAACTTGGTTCAAATTCACTGTTGTTTTTCTAGTAAAAGCCTCTGAGCGACCACCCTGCGCCCCGCAACGCACATTAATGTTACAACTAATTATCTTTTTTAAACATCAGTAATGAAAGTTTAATTGTAGATTCAGGGTTCAATATTTTGTATTACCAGCTTCTCAGAGAAGTCTAATGAACAGCTATTAAATGGAAGAAATGAACAGAAAAGTACAATGTATTAGGTTGGTGCAAAAATAATTGCGGTTTTGCCATTATTTTCAATGGCAAAAACTTTGATTACTTCTGCACCAACCTAATATACTATAAGTATTGCTTATTTATTTAAAAAAATATATAAAATTAACTGAATTGATAAAGTAGAAACATCCTAGAAAGAAAATGCCTAGGTTTTTGAAATCTCAAAAATCTAGACGCAAATCCTGGTTCTGCCACTTACTTGCTGTGTTATCTCAGGTAAAGTACTTACACTCTCTGAGCTTTAGATTCATTATTAAAATAATACTTATATCACATTTGAAGCCTTCTAGCGCACTGCCTGGCACAAGGCAGACACTCTACGAAATGCTGGTTTCTTCCATTACTTTTCATTAAGGCTATACTGAGAATGTGGTAGTCATCCTGGCAGCTGTTATATTGAAGTTGAGGCTTAGTTAACATTATAAATATGCAAATGCAGAGGTGGAGCTTTGTTCTGGGCCTTACAATCTAATCTGGGAGTTCAACTATAAAATCGGAGCATACCAGGAATGGGCCACAAAGTGAGAGATGGCCACTGGGGTACAGGGGAAGGCCAAAAGATAAGGAAAGCATTTCATGACAACCGACATCAGGATGACTCAGAGCTGTTCTTCTTCACCAGTGCTGTTGCTGCTGCTGTTTTAAATAATCTACTACCAATTTATTTTCTAATAGACATTATCCTAATTCTATATTAAATATCAATGAGCAATGTGATTTCTTTTATCGTCAACTTAACTGGACCTATATCTATTCTATAGAAAGAGAAAAACCTTTCTGCACAAACATATTCACCAAATCACCTAACTGGGTAAGCAATGTTATGACCACTTCTCAAGGCTAATTTTTAACATTAACTTTCTCTTTCCAGCTTATAATGCCATGTACATTTCCTCCTTCTTGCAAAAGCAGTGATTTTATTCTAGTTTCTTTCCTGTGACTCAGGGCTTCACAGACACGGTATGGCGCCCAGATGCCTCATTATTGTATGGTTTTGCATGTCCCTGCTTTAAACTACAGCATCTACTGCAATGTTGGAGCCCGAGTTATTTCTGATGCATATGAAATAACTGACAAAGAATTTATGTGGAAACTATGACTGCAATAAATTAGAATCTCATTTAAGTTTTCATATGCCTATTGTATGCCTTTATTTCTAAAATGAAAAACTTAAAGAATGGACTAGTTTTCTTAACTACCAACTAAAACCTCTTCCAATGATAGACTAAGATATCTGGAATTGATTCTTTTTAACAGTGGAGGAGTGACAAAGAATATAACAATAAAGATTGCTTGAATTAATTTCTAGCTTTTTCTGTAAGATCAAGTAGTTCTTTAACAGCATTCCTTCAAAAGAGAAAATGGTCTGTAAAGAGACTCATAAAAAATAAATCAGTATATCAACCAGCCTTTAACATTGATGACCTAAATAAATGAAGCCTAAATGAAGTTTTTTTAGTTCATACACCTCCTGTACTGATAATTATAAAAACACTTTAGATAGATGCTTGGGATGAGGAGGGCTAGTCAATGGAATGGTCATGCAGTTGGAAACACATGTTTTGGGGTTGAATTTAAAAATGGACAAAATTGCAAAATGTCATGCATGTCTGTTCTCTCAAACAAAAATTGAATGACCAAATAAAATACGAGACAAGTGACCACTTCCAGTGAATACAAAGCATTATCATTTCCCTGAGGTTTCATCAAGCAAATATGGCATTTTTGAAAGACAAAGAGATTGAGGTTGAAGAATAAAGGAAACTTTTAGATAAAATGAAAGAAATACATGACAAGGAGAATGGAAAATAACTTTTTAAATAAATCTAGCAAAGAAATAAAATTAGTCCCTTTTTAAAAAAGTTATTTCTATTGTAAGATAGAATGCTTATTTCCTCTTACATTCTCTGGATAATTAGAAAGTTAAATTTTGATTGTACAACTGTACTACAAGAAAAGGAATATGCAAATATATAACTTCCTATTGAACACATAGTTTTACAAGTGTTGAAACTGTCCATTACTGTCTCAGGCTCACAGTATTTTAAAAATACTCAGCTTCAGACTGATACTTGACATAGGGATTACACAACAGCACATTAGGTGCGGGTGGTGCCTGGAGGGATTACACAACAGCATGTTAGGTGGGGGTGTTGCCTGGAAATGAGCTTGCCCAGATGTCTATACTCATTGTCAGTGAAGAATTAATCACTGGTCCACAACGCTAACTAGCACAAATCCCAGAAATATAACTTCTAGAGACAAAGCCCTCATGGAGTTATAGTACGAATCCGACAATAAGTAACATGAGAGGCACATCAACAATTCAAGGTGCTCAAATTGGGAAAATTCTCAGTATTACATGATGTAAACTCAGAGGTGAGTCATCAATTAACAGACGAAGTGGGTCTGTTCTATCAAGGTCATGTCAAAAGGTACAAGAGCAGACGAACTGGGCAGAACACTTCTGAAAGTAAAAAATAAATACATAAAACTAAGACTGGTTATTTTTCAAAATATCTGTGAGTCAGAGCAAACCAGAGGCTGAATGAGTGAGAAAGAGAATTGTTATTCTAAAGCAATAACTCAATCAATGAAAAACTGTTGCCATGATACAGAAAGAGACAGAAGAAAAGTTCCCGCTACATACTAGCAGTATTAAAAGTATTGCAAGAATTACACGAATATGAAAGGACAGAAAATAAGATCTAGGGAGGAAGTCAACACGTGGAAATACTTGGAAAATCCAGGGGCTAGGAAGGACCTAACGATTCTTTTACAACAGAGAAAGTCGTTTTAAGAATGGCATTGACCAATCCATCTTTACTTTCACAAAAGCAGAACCCGACTGAATGAATTTAAATTACACTAATTGTCTGGGGAAGAACATCCTGTTCATGAATGTGAAGGCCCCCTGGGAAAACCACTATTGAAGGATACTCTACTCTTTCAGATCTTTAAAAGGGCCCACAGCCAACCGTCCTGAGCAGATCAAGCAAGGTGCCAGGTGACAGAGGGCCAAGAGCTCTACTTCCTCATTGTGCACCATTTTATATGGGCCACTGTGCAAACTAAAAGTTAGGTGGGAATTTCAGAAGGAAAAATATCTATATTCTGAAGTTCAAAGTAAGTCATGCCTTGAAAATAAATCTTACTAGGTCTCTGATCAGCCAGTATTAAAAGTGAAAAACATCCCCTATTCTTTCAAAGTGAGTACTTCATTCCTTGCTGAGTACAGAAGAATCTATAGGCTAGGGGAAGGCATTTCCAAATGTCGATTTGTTTATAAAGATAAGAACATTGAATAGACTTAAGTAAAACAAAAAGGCTCCCATTTTTGTTGTTAGATTTACCAATTTTCTGCTTGCCTCTACTAATAATATAAATGTGCTTTATAATGTTTTCAAATCACCGAATTGGTGACTGTGATGATGGCAGTTTTTCCATGAGCCTGCTCCTATTGTTTTAATTTTAAAACCAAGAGCAAGCATCTCTTTCCAGGGTGAAATGCCCTTCTGTTTTGAATCAGCTTCTTTGAGGTCAAGTAACACAATGGCCGAGAATCAAGACAGCCACTCCTGGAGGCAGCCAAACCCCACCCCTGTACCCTGGAAGCCCCTCTCTGGATCAGCTTCAATGCTTATTTTAATGGGCACTCAAACAGCTTCATCTGACAAGAGGAGAAATGGAAGAGAAGGTGAAAGTTGCCTGGAAGTGAAAGCAGGATTTGAAATTGAAGGTGATGGTGGGATGTGCCCTGACGTCATGAGCAGGAGAGAGGGGAGAAAGCCAGTCCCCTCAGAAGAAAGGCCATAATGCTTGACTGCACATCACAGAAATGACAAGGCCGTCCTCGGGACCACCTTTGTGACTCACAGACTTCTGGTGGATTCTCAAGAGAACCCTTTTAGTACAGCGGTCGACCGTGGCGGCCCACTTCCTCTTTGCCTCCTCATCCTCCTCCAGCAGGCACCGCCTCAGGTCCTGTCTCTCAGCCTTGCTCAGGGTCCTGTCTGAGGCAGGCCGCACTAGCTGGGTCAGGTTCAGGTGGCTGTACAGGCTCCTCTCCACCACGTAGGTGATATTGAACTCGCTGACCGAGGTGCGCCCGCGCACCCTCCTGCCGGGGAAGCCGCAGCTCCCGCCCCCTTTGCCTTTCTGCCGGAGCAGCTGCAGGTCACAGGTGGTGCTGGTGATGCCTTTTCTGGAGGGACGCTGGCAGAGAAAAGCTCTGGAACAGGAATAATTAGTATCCGTTTTCTTCAAGCGGATTTGCTTCCGGACACTCTGAAACTCCTCCAGGGACACCAGAAGGTGGTGCCTGCGACGGTGGTTGTCATAGAAGCAAACACCATCTGTACTTACCCCGTGGCTCAGGGACCCGAGACTCTTCTTCATCTCCCCCTCGGTGAGGGAGCGGGACACTTTCTGGGCCTTTTCTTCTTCTGGGTAGGAGAAGAATGTCCCCATCTTCTTGGGGGGCTTAATCAGGCCCCGACTCTCTCCTTTGCTGAAGGTTTTGACCAACTTCCGGCCAGCCCCCCAGGTGTCCAGGCTGCTGGAGGATGGAGACGTGGTGAGAGAGTCTGAGTCATCTTCGGGAGGTTTCTCAGGAGAGCCATCAAAGAAAAAAGGCTTCTTGTGCACACCAGAGTAGAGGGCGGACCGTTCATCCAGGACCGGCGAATTCTCGAACACGTGCTCCTCCCCACCTGGAGGGAAATCAACAGAATCTCTTGTGAACACACCTTTGCATTCTTGCATACGTCTTTCTTTACACCCACCACCCTGCAAAAAATAAGCTAGCCCATATAGATAGCTAGCCCACAGCAATATCTTTCTCCGTATCATGACCCTCTTTATAAACTCAGCTCCCACTTACATATGTACAGAAAAATGAAAATATACTGTGAAAATATATGGTTTCACATGAGCTTAACGTTAAAAGGTTTCAGATGTGTTTTCTCCTTCTTTAAATATCTTTGTAGACCTAACACCTTCACAGTCGTATTTAAAATGTCATTTGCAAAATCTAAGCTAGCCATAATCACAATATGCCTTAGCATTTCGAGATAATGTCCTCCCCAGTTTGTAAATGCAACCCTCTGAAACTAGGAATCAGGATCTTTCCCCCTTCTGAAAGGCACTCCTTTATGTTGGCTCTGGTGACTTTTTATAGTTGGAGTGTGATAAATGTCATATGGCTGACAGTGATTGTTTTATTGGTACATATGCCATTTGAGCGATTAAATCTCCAAGGAAGTTTTGGTGGGGAGAAACACTATAAAGGGTTGTATCCTGCAAATGTGACTGACAAATCATCTCCAGCTGACAGGCCAAATGTAAAAAGTCAGGAAACTCAGTGATCCCGGCCAGATACTCCCATCAACTCAGGCCTTGCTAGGAAGCAACAAGGGCGTTTAAGGGCCCTGACACGCAGGCAGCTCCAGGGTCCCACTGGTCTCAGGGATTCCAGCTCTTGAAGCCCTCACTGGAGCCAGGTGGCAAGCCAAGCCCTCCAGAGCCCAGTGGAAAGGTTTGGACTTGCTGGCAGGAAAATCGAGTTCTTTTCCGCATGTGTTATGTGAACAGATGTGAGAAAAGAAGTAGGTCAAACTGTGGGTGTAGCGATCCCAACTGGCTGTGTCCCTTTAATTATAGGGAAACTTTGAGCTCTGCAGCTTTCCACCCGCTGAATTGTGAAGAGGAAAAAAGGAAAAGTTCCTTGGAACAGAAGGATGGCACTAAATATATCAGCTGGGACGAGGGCGCCAGTGTGTGGTAAATGTCAGAGAAAAGGGGAGCTATGCTCAGTTCAGAGCAAAACTCAGAGGGGGAAAGAACGACAGCAGTCCTTTAAAATTCTAAAAATGGCTTACTTTCCCAATTGATGGGATTTACAGGTACAAATCTAACAACAACGAAAAAAAGAACAGCTGCTATTAAATACAACCAAAGGTCAACTTTACATTCATGTCCAGCAGACGCTGGTGGGGAGGGTGGGAAGTGGGAAAGAAGATGTAAAAATCTGCCTGGCCCATAGTCCCCTGAAGAATCAGGGATCTTTCAGGGGGACTTTAAAGGTAGGATTTGGGGTTCTAACAGAAATTCACCAGCCCAGAGGCAGGGTACAAATACCCTGGAAGTTTCCCGCTCCTTCCTCAGGACACCTGACTGACAAGGTGTGAAGACCAAGGGTTCTTATGCTGTTGGAAATAAAAATGGCAACCTCTTCTAGTTACAGTCTACCCTCCACTTCCAAGAAGAAGTGACTGAGCCAAGACTAGAGGCACAACCTGTGGCAGAGGCAGCCCAACCATGGACTTCTCTATTAAAGTCGTCGAGTGTGGTTGTGGCTTCACCATCTGCCCAGGTGTCCATGCAGATGTGCAAAGGCCCTTCTCCACCCATAGTCCTAAGGGGTTTCAGAGAATTCAGGTGAGTCGACCCTGCGTATCCTAAGGATCTGTCACTCAGCAGCTGTTTTGGACATTTTCTGGGCTCTGTGCTTAGGATTGTCATCAGAGATTCCAATACTTTGGTGTCACATCTAAGTCTGGAACCAGCTGGTGAACGCATGTCCATAACGAATGTAGCTCTATTCTCGGGTTCAGGAAAGTCAGCATCTGGTAAGGGGTTGTGAGGGATATGTAGTGAATGCTTCCCAAGAGGCTGCATCTGCTGGTGCTGAGGGCAGGCCTCCTGTAGTGCAGACTGTAGTGCACTGGGCCTGACCAGTGGCCTGGAATCCCAACCTTGACCTGGACTGCTTGAACTTGGAGCATTTCTTCTCTCATCCTTCTCTGACTTAAGCATACAACTCTCCTACTGGAAGAGTGACCGTCAAGATGAGCTCACTCCATCACATTTGCTGGGATTTCCTTCACACGAAGGCCTCCATCTATCTTCTTCAGCTGAGACTGGCTTACCAAAGGCAAGGTGATTTTGGGCAGGAGGAGAGAGGTAGGCTATGGGCTGACTTAATGCCAGGAACTCAGGGGTATGCTCTGCATTCAGCCCGACTCTGCCACTCACAGTTCCATAACCTTGGGCAATTACTTCCTGGCTCTGAGGCTCTGTTTCCTTGTCTGTAATAATGCCTACCTATCTTTCCATAATATCCCTGGCAAAGCTGTTGTGATGATAACAGTAAACATTATCCTCATAAAAGAGTTACGTGAAGGTGCTGTATGAGCTGAAAAGCTTCCTACAAAACTGGTGATTCATTCCTGGAGAGAACTGAGTGCGAGCAATGAGGGAAGGAAGGGTGTCCATTCTATGGCAAAGACACAGAAATGGGCAGGTAAAGGGCACTGATGTAGCCTAGATTAAAGACCGGCCAGGGTTGTCCACGCCAGGATAAGGACTTGAAACCCAGGGTGCAAGGGTGAGAGTGAGTGAAGAACTGATTTCTCTCCTGGCTTTCCAAGGACTTCAGACCTGGTTGGGGAGAGAGGTGGCAACGGAGTGAGAACACGCAGCTGTCAGGAAGCAGGCTGCCTGGACATCGTGCTGGGTCTTCTGCTGGCTGGTTGAGTGGCCAGGAGTCAATTACTTAGCCTCTTTGAGTCTCAGTTTCCTCATTTCTGAAATGAGGATGGTGTAAGTGCTTACTTCTGGTAGCTATTCTGAGGATGACATTAAAGAGAACATAAAATCTAAAGTGTTTGGGAAAGTGCCCGGCACGTGGCATGCCCTCAATACATGATAATTATCATGCAGACAACTTGGTATTAGCACAGGCACGCAGGAAGTTAAAGGATCAACCCTTTGTAAGTCCAAGGGCGGGGGAGTTGGGAGGGTGCCTCCTGGAGTATGAATCCTTCCTGCTCTGCGAGATGGACAGGGGCCAAGGTAGCCTCTTCCAAGTACCACTGCGAGTGAGGACCCTCAGAGAGTTCTCTGTTGTGCAGGGGTTGGAGGAAGTTCCAGTTTAGTGGGGAATTGGGAGGTAACCCAAAGCAGGCACCTTGAGCAACACACACACCTGGGGCCTCTCCTGAGAAGACGGTGAGCTTGGCCAGTGGCAACTCAGCTCCCTGACTCATCAGATGCCAGAGTGTACCTTAGGATTGGAGCTCACTAAATCCGTCTTCCATCTGTGAAGCCTGATTTGTGCCCAGATAAATTAAAGTTCAGAGCCAGAATTCCATATGGTTATTACTTTTTACTCTAGAGTTACCCCTTTCGGTATATTTTTCCTTTTCAACCAATGCCTCTCAAAGATAGTTGGACTGATTTATTCTGACATAAATATGCAAATTACAATGTTTGTATTTTTAATCATGTTATTCTAGTGGAAAGGCTACCTTAACACACCACTATCATGTGTGAAGGGCCCACTGGGGAACAGGCACAGGACTAGGTACTTTACCCACATTATCTCAGTTATGGATGAACCTCACCCATCTATTTGTTATATTTGAGACTTGATTTTGGCCGAGTGTTCATGAGATTTGTTACAAAGTGTGCCCTTAAAGTTGAATGTTGGCAATCCCATATGGTTCTCCCTAACAGTACCAACTGACACTGTCTGTGATTGCAGTAACGGTCGCCACAGCGTACATTCAATACTGTGGAATTCACAACTGGTGGGCAGGTATTAAAACACCCAAATGTAAAATCAGCATTGTATCCAAATGTAAACAGAATTACCACGCAAAAAGATACCCTTATGAAACCCCAGAATTGAAAACAACCCTAGTTTACGAAATTGGCCATAAAGCTGATTTCTCTCCCTATGTTTTTCTTTTCCCTTCTAATGCCCATTCTCTCACAGTTACCCACTTAGCTTCAGTATTATTCTAAGGGATTTAAACCCATGAATAATAGCAAACACAAATTAAAAGCAGCAATACAAACAAAAAACCCTTATCTTTGCAAATAAGGGGAAATTCATTTCTTTACATGACTTTATTTTATTTCTATATAACAAAAATGCCTCTACAAAAATAATTTAAAACCTACATGTTAAAATTTGGAATTCCTCACAATGTAGATATGACATTTTAACAAGTAATGTGCTTTTTTTAAAGCATATTCTTTCCAGTATTTTTATCCAATTCAATTATTATCATTTTTCAAACAGAAAAATCTTATTTTTTAATTTTACCTTTTTGGGGAGAATTTATAAGATACTGCAAATGCACATTACTAACAAGAGAGATGAATAAGGTTGAGATTTGAACTGTCATAATTATACTTCAAAGGTTAACTATTCATTTCAATAAATCCAAGTTGATGTCTCCTTTGACATTATTGTTTCACCTGGCTAACTCCAGCAATACAAGTCTTAAAGATTCCCTTAGAATCCTAGGTCCTTAAAGCCCCCATTTGAATTGAGACTTGAGACTCTCTACAGGAAGAACAAATCATCCCTGAGAAACTGAAAGGGATATTAGGTGCTTTGATTATTAGGCATTTCTTCAAAATGTACATACACGAAATTTGATCTAAATTCACTGAGCAAGAACCATAGTCCTTTTTGGGATTGGAGACTCATGTGAAAAAGTTAGAAAGTTTATATAAAACGGTATAAGCTCATACATGAAGCTACACTACACCTCGAGAAAATTTCCATTTCCCATCTTTTAAATTTAAATGACTAAGCACCCCAAACGCCTGACACCAGGACCTTTCATTCCATCACATCATCGCATCTGAGCATCACTCTTCTGGCAGGCACAGTTCTGCCAGATTTAGCCAGAGCTCAATGCATTTTCCACTTGAAATCGTATCCCTTTTCTACTAAGAAACTGACCCCAAATGATTTCTTTTGGAATAACCAGGGTGGAGTTTGCCTTTTTTTTTTTTTTTTTTACCTTCAGTGCTGGGTTTTTTCATTTCTTCCACCCTAATTAGTTTCTTTCTGACTCTGCGAGTGGAGTTTACCAGCTTGTGTAACCTCTTAAACTTCACCGACTCCTCGGTCTCATCATCCGATTGTTCTCTTGACTGGCAAAGAAACAAAGGAAAAGTTAATCAGGTAATTGCTCCAAGCTTTGCCTGTGCGGCTGGATATAGCTGGCCTTGCTGCCAGTCTGATCCTCGGCAGCTCTGTTGCTGAACTTGGGGAACCAACAAATTTACCCAAGAGGTTTACAAAGCACCACATACCATCTTAAGGTCTAATTCGGGGTAGAATTAGGTCCTAGGTAAGGAAACACACATCCTTGCCCTCAACTGGCCTGTGGTGGCATCTGTCTCAGCTACTTCCTTGTCCTCTTTTAGGAGGACTCCGGCAGGACTCTCCCTCCAATGCTGGCCCTGTAATTCCAGTTTCACTGCTGTGGTTTGGGTCAGGCTCTCATCTGTCTGGCCCATCAGGACTTGCTGTTTAACGTGGTCATCAACTACTTCTCCAAACCAAAATTCTGTTGACTTTTTCCAGCCCTCCCCCAAAAATCAAAAACAGCAGGGCAGGAAAGGGAAAGAGATGCAAACAGCCTCTTCCATCCCATTGGCTAAGACTGTCTGCCACATTGCAGCCAGCCCTTCCGCCTCTCCCGGCTCCTTCTAAGGGATCACAAGGCGAATGTGAGGACAGACCCTGCATTCCTCCAAGAGAGACAAGGGAAAAGGCTGACCTTTCAGCCATACAGTACAGTCCATATTCCCCACAGCCCATTGCACTTTGCAGGGAGTCAGCATGCTCAGGCCCAGCTGTTTTCCCTCAAGTATCAAACATTACAGAGAGAGGGAAAAAAATCTCTCTCTGCAGCAGTGACCCAGGCTAAAAACAATCCTTTCCTTGTGAACGAAATGAGCGTTTCATTTCTAAGTCAGCTCCAACATTCAATATGCAGCTTCCTCTGTTGTATCTGTTCAAAATGTGAAACAGCAAAAGAGGTCTCCGGCTAAATGAGCGTGCAGCACGGGTGCGTGGGCATGCCTGGGAGCAGCCGCCTCGGCACACCCTGTGCAGCGGATGAGCAATTCCAGCTCACATCGCATGTCCTGACAACAACCTTCTCTCCATTTCCTCCAACCCCGTTCATGGAATAGTAGGAAGACAAATGCCCCAAACGAACACACAAAACAAAAACAAGCCCCATCTCTGAACACGAGTCTAATGTAGAGACTTTTTCTCCTGAAGAAAAGCTCTCACTAATCTCAGTGTTACAGACAGTAAAACAGATAAGCAAGAGTTGCAGATAATACCTCAAGAGAAGAAGAGGTAGAGTTTCTATGCATTACTTAGGCATAAAAATGGTGCATGTTGTGAGTCCTCTTTGCACTATGGCACAAACATTAGTACAAGGATAGTAAGGGATATAAACAACTGATTTCCTGGCCTCTGTCCTCACCCTGAAACTCAAGGCATGGAGCCATGGTACTTTCTCCCCGTATGACTATCAGCAAACTGTTTACTGACTTGTGGTTAACTATAAACCTAACATCAGCAAGTCACCAGGCAGAAGTGTTTCTCAGACTTCTCTTCTGTAAAGTGTATCGATATCTATGTCCAATTTCTCTAAAATTCCTAGATAAAATGTTGCCTGCAAGTGTCAGAATTAAAGCTAAGTACTGGGTACCTGGTAATAAAGAATGGGAACTGGACTCCCAGGGGAGAAGCTACACTGGATGCTGGCAATTAGGCTTAAAACTGAAAATAAAAAAAAAAATTAGAATAATAAGTGTAGTTCCTAATACAGAATGGCATTGTCTGGTTTGAGTTTCATTTCTACTTGGTTGAATTGTTGACGTGTGATGAAACGGCTGGAGCGGTCAACCAGAGGAATGAGAACTTGGTTAACCCTCATTCTGGGTAACCAGCACCTGAAAAACCCACAGCGCATGGAATTACATATAAACATTTAAAAACATTCTGCCCTCTTGATGTAGCTCAAAAGCCAAGCAATTCTAATGGAAGAATAATCAACATTATGTTATAGAAAGTCTCTAACTATCAATGGGACAAACCCAGAATATGTCTCTCACCCTCACATTTACAAATGTTGAAATCAAATGAAAATGCAATAGGTACAGATTGTTTGTAATCAAAGTATAAGAAGCTGTGTTATAGGATGAAAATTACTGATGTGTATACCTCATACCTAGTTTGCTGGTTGTTGGTGGTGGTGGTGTGGGTATGTGTATGCATGGGATAGTGGACAGTAAGAAGAGAAATGGGGTATAGAAAAAAGTAATACAAAAATTTTAGTCCACAAAGACACAAATCATTATATGCAGTAGAGTGAACTTTCCAAGGAGAAATCAAAATAGTTAAACCAGGACAGTAGATTTAAAGGTGTTGCCTTCCTCATAAAGTCCTAGTTTCCTCTGCCCAGATTCACTGTGGCAAAAAATAACATATTTCAGGTACTTATTTCATTGTTTTCACAAGTTCCATTTATTTTTGAGAAACATACCTTTGAATTATACCTTCGAATTATACTTCTTTATACCTTTGATTTAATGCTATTTTTATTTTTCTAGAAAAATCAAGATTTGGAGGTGTTTGTCATTGACAAATCACAAACCATGGCAACCAAGTCCTTCTTTTCCATGATTATGTTTTGGACACTAGACAAGATAGATGTGGCACAATTTATATGAAGAAAAATGCAACATAAAACCCAGGTCATCCAAGAAATGTGTGTGTGTGTGTGTGTGTGTGTGTGTGTGTGTGTGTGTGTGAAACAGAAATTTTCCTAGAAGTCAGGCTAGAAGTTACTTAAGTTCAACAACCTATCCCAAGAATGTATTGCTGTATCCATGATATTGATGGAGAGGTGTTGACTTCTCACTTCCTACTGAGTACAGAGGAAAAAAGGCTTGTGAAATATTTGCCTTTGAAAAATTCTCTCCAGCTGTTTTAACAGAAAAACACTGTAAAAGCCTTGCATTTCTTCTAAACTGGAGAGTAAATCTTGAATTCCTCATGTCATATTTCTCTTTTTAAGTATATTCCACTTCCCAAATGCTGAAAATAACATAGCATGTCTTTCTTTTTTTTCTTTTTTTCTTTTTGAGATGGAGTCTTGCTCTCTCTCCCAGGCTGGAGTGCAATGGCGCGATCTTGGCTCACTGCAACCCCCACCTCCTGGGTTCAAGTGATTCTCCAGCCTCAGTCTCCTGACTAGCTGGGATTACAGGCACACACAACCATACCCAGCTAATTTTTGTATTTTTGTAGAGATGGGGTTTTGCCATGGTGGCCAGGCTGGTCTTGAACTCCTGACCTCAGGTGATCTGCCCAACCTCGGCCTCTCAAAGTGCTAGGATTACAGGCGTGAGCCACCATGCCGGGACAGCACGTCTTTTTATTCAGGAAATGTACCACCAGGGATGGGGGCTTGAGAATTTTTATATTTATAAATATCAAAAATATATAATTTTTAAATTCAAATACTATGTATATTTTAAAAGAAATCTTCCTATGTGAAGAACTTTGTAGAAGATAGAGGAAATCTGCATTGTATATAAAATAAATGATTGATTTTAGGAAATAGGCTCAGCACTATTATAGAACAGGTTTTAAATAAACTAAAGTTAAAAAATAAAAGTATATATTCACACACATTCAAACATGAGATAGTGTGGCCTCCCCTCCCTTGTCCCACCCTGGGTCAGAGTTAAATAGCTCATCTTCTAAACGAGAAGGTGAGCTCAATCATACAGACAGCTCCTCACCAGAAAACCTTCAAGAGAAAAAGGCAACTTATCCCACCAAACATTGTGGAAAAGTGGATTTCCAATACTGTAAACAGAAACATTTGATTTCCAGCCTCTCCTCTGCAGACTTTTTCCAGCAGAAAGCCCATATGGCTCAACTTTTAATTACTTTGGCTAATGCTATATGTAGTAATTCTGTGGTGAATGCTTAAGTGTTTCATTTCTGGTTTCCATAGCAACATTACATCAGATTGCAGACAGCTGGCTCCACAGTTTTAAACCATAACAAATTGACCAAGCCAAGACACAAAACTATAGCTGCTTTAAAGAGATAGCACACCATTCGCCGGCCAGACCGCTGAATGAGGAACCTATGGGGCCCGTTTGGCACCCGGAGGAGGGTGGAGCCTCCCTCCTTCCCAGCTTCTTTTGGAACAAGTGTATCCTTGACACATCTGCAATGTTCTAATAGGAAAGACATGGAGCCAGCGTGGAGAACTTTTTATAACACAGCTATACGCTGGATGATCAGAAAAAAAGGAACAAAATGAATAGCATCTGTAAGTACAAACATTTGTGTGCTCACTAAACGCATCCCCTCACTGCTCCAAGTAAACCTGTCACTGCTGGTAGGTAACAGATACTTCACCGGACCCTGTAACAGTTCTTGGGACTACAGAGTGCAGAGTAAATCCTTTCCAAAAGCCATATGGCACAGCTGTGCAGGCACAGTGGCAATGTGCTGCAATAAAGGTTAAAACAAACTTGCAAGGAGCAACTAGACCCTTTGGAGGACCGCTTGAGACCGCCACGCTGATCACAGGATTACAACTCTGCCCTTTGCAGAAGCGCTCTCACTCAGCTTGTTTCCCTAGCTCAAAACACACAACACGCTGTCACAATTAACACCCAGACTAAGCCCACTTATCTCCCCCGGCGCCACATAACACCGAGAGATATTTAAACATTTCTCAAAAGCAATTTGAAACTGGAAATGTACTTGCTTGTGAAATTCACACTGGTCTGTCTAACCTAGTGCATGATCAGACATATATGCTTCAACTTTCTAGGTCGGCTGTGCCACAGCATTAATCTTAAAGTTAAGAGAAGGAAGCCAATCAGATATAAGCTTATGAAAACCAATGTGCAACACTGTCTGAATGCAAGTCCTCCCCAGGAAAAGCCTCCACAATTCACAGCTGAGCCATATTGTCTCAAATTCTCAAAACAATATTCACTATTCTCCAAAAGTTACGCATTTTCACTGGTGAAAATGCCAGGCAAAAAAGTTCAGGGTTACCAGGTAGGGAAGTACACAGAGGAAGAAGGGCAAATTT